ACTAACAGTGAATCAATAGCGGGTTCTAATGTCTTTGCTTCTAAACGAGGCCTCGTCGACGCTTCCTTTGACTTTGTGGGGGTGGACGGCTGCTTTAACCGGGAAAGGGCTCCCATCTGGTTGTTCAAAGTTCAATTTCTTCATGAAACATTTGCCTTGTGGAAAATGCTCGCCATACTTGAGGCCTTGACGTGTCCCTTTTGTTTGGGACTTTAGACAACCTCTTTAAAAAAATCTTCTTGGACTTATTAAAGTTGCTTCAAATACTTGTTTTGTGACAGTGGGGTTAATATCTGTTCTCTTAGATCGAGATCTGAGGTGGAGTTTAACTCTTAACAATTAACGCCACGTATAAAGGAGTGGCTTGTGGTTTCACATAGTATAGAAATTGTGTCAGCCTGATTCCATGTGAATGCAGCATTCGCGTGCTATTTGCAGCTGTTGCTTCCCTTTCAGCACTTGACTCTAAATGCACATTTGATAGTGGGCTATCTTTTTTTTTTTTTTCAAAGCCCTTATTGTTGTTTTCCCTTTACCTGCAGCTCGGTTTTCTCCCTTTTCCATTTTTTCTTCTCATGTTTGATCTATAATAGTACCATCTTTTTTTAAAGCCTTTGAGTGTGAAGGCCCCAGCATAGATTAATTTTCCTCTGCTTTTGTAATTGAACCTATCATTTATTTAGTGTTTTTCTTCCCAGTTCTCTCTCCCGGTAATCAAACTCACATAGTTCAAGCAACATCTCCAAAGGCCAAATTGACCAGAGAGCGAGGCGTAGTGCGGAACCTGAAAGAGCACTTTGACAATTGTTCATGTATCTTTCAAACAAATGTAGCTGAAGTGTTGTTAGCAGAGGTTTGAAATCCCGGTTGGAGCTGTAGACGAGCATGTCAGCGCTGTAGTTACATGCTACGCTGCCTCAGAAGCATTATTAAGTATTTGATCTCCACACCGGAGCGCCCCTCAGTGCTAAAGCTGTTTCCTGGCAGTTGCCTATGAGAACTTGACTTTGGAAAGCTTTTTTTTTATAATTTGTGGTCTGGGCACTAAAACATCAGCATTCATTTCCAAAGTGTGTGCTCTGATTTGTGTGCCCGACATTGAGTCCTTTTATTCCCTGACGCGATGCATTAGCATGGTGTAACACAATTAGCTGTCCCTGCTGACAGGAAACAGTTGTAGAGGAGGGAGGGCATCTCTTTGTGTTGCGGTGTGTAGTGTTGTGTATCATCACCAAAGACAACACTGTTATTAGTTCAGTGCCTGAGGCAGATCAATAGACTGAGCAGGGCGGGGAAATGCTGAAGAGGAATGAGAGGAAGGAGAGAGGAAGCGAGAGAGGAGGAGTGCAGTCAACACGTGTTAGCCTTTCCTTTTGCTGGATCTGACTCAAATCGGTAAATAAGAAAGCTGCCGCGCCTTCAACGCCGTGCCAGTGAGCAGTGTGGAATGGCCTCGTCCATCAGATCCTAGTAACAACGGGCCTGGCCTGGAAATCCTGAGCAGTTAATCCGGTTAGCGTCAACACATGGGGATCCTGAGCATTAAAGCCAATCAGAGTTAACACGCGGGCCATGTGTAGCAGCGTGAGCCACATTTCTATCTCTGCTCTAAACTAGAGGACAGCACGCCACACCTTTTTGTTTTCTTTGCCGTGATCAATGAGCTGACCAAATGTAATTCCCGTGACGAGGCAGACGATGTCTCCGATCTTGCAGAGTAAATTGAACTGAGTGCCAATGTCGGGAATTAGCCCGCGATGTTAGCTGCAAGCGGAAACAAAGGAAAGGCCCGGAGGCCAACGCGGATCACCTCGGAGAAGCGGGCACACAGCCACGCGTCACAAATGTCATCTTTACGTGTTTGTGTGTTTCTTTGGTGCCAGATTCGACATGGCATACGTTGGAGGTGACACACTGTGAGAGAAGACAACAAAGTGAGGACTTTAAGAGATGGAGAGGAGACGTTGCCTTGAGTTTAGCTTGGTACGCGGTAACCTCATTAAATATTTGGTACCTTTTATACCGGGTGGATAAACCATCCTCTCTGTCCCTCCAGTTAGTTTAATGGACCCTGCGTGGAATTTCCGCACAGCTTCGCCCACATTCACACATAGTGTCAAGGCCCGTAAGATAACACGTAACTTGCACTATGAAGAGTGTTAGTTGGCCTCGAGTGACTGAACCTTGCTGGAATAACCACAGTAATTATCTATTTCTAATACCCGTTTTCATATATTGTCAATACACCAGCATTTTCGGTGACAGACCTGGGATCAGCTCCCCGTCTCCCTCTCACGTGTTGCAGAAAAATAAATGTTTTTCTTTTTAAATGAAGTGCATACATGGTTTTTAATTATTGGCTTTAAATGCTGAGGGAAGCCTCCGACTGTGTGGGAGTTGTTATGCAAATGCTGTAGCTTTTGCGCCGCGTTTATGTGCGCTTAGGAGCGCCATCATAGGTGACATATTCCTTTTATTCGTTGCATTCTGATAACTAGCTGTTGAGCAGAAAATCAGAGTGTATTCATGCTCCAGGGCCCTTCAGCCACCAGCCTGTAACCTGAAATCCTTGGTTGATTGAAGCATTGTCGGTCATGCTGGCGATGTGAGCAAACAAGTACTGCTCTTCTATAATGTTCATTTGTTTCCAAAGATCTGCATTTGTTTTCTTCTAATTGTGAGTTGTAATTCTCTGTGTGCACGGGGGTGATTCCTTAGATGCACTTCTGTGAGCCGAGCTCAGTTGACGCCCTTAGGGTGGGCGCGCTCCCTCTAAATGGGATTGTTAAAATTACATCCTCCACTGATGATTGTTTTGATTTGTTTATTAATCTGTCCATTTAATGTTTCTGTCTCCAAGTAGACAGAAAATGGTGAGAAATTAATCAATCAGTGTCCACAACTAAGACATTGTCAGATATTCAGTTCATAGTTGTGTATGAATTAATACACCAAAAAAAACATTCACATTTACTATTATGAACCATTTTATTAATATTGGAAAGGTCATTTTTAATTGAATTGGTCATTCATTGTGCATCATCTTTCTTGGTTCTTGATGTGCGCAAAACTCAAACACCACTGATTTGTAATATCTTTTATGCAGCTTTAACATTCAGGCTCCCAGTCAAGAAATTTCTGCTTTTCTATTTTATTATTTATTTTTTTGATTTATATTGTTTACAATGTGAGGTATCACTTCGCTTTTTGGATCACAGGGGCATTTCTGCCCAATTTACTGCACAGTTCACAGACCATATTATGAATCAATAATCAAAGGAAATGGTATTAACTCCTTCTTGCAGAGCCAAAGGGCCGACTTACAGCTACCTTTGGACGGGGCGTGAAGCTTCCATCTTGTGATCTCTTTTTTTAACACTAGGTATAATATAGTGCAACCCTTAGCCATGTGGTATAAGACCGTCCTTCTTACTTTATTGCACCTCACTGAAGCTCCTCTCCGCCCTGCTCCATGTTGGTCACGCCAGCCGAGTGATTCGCCACCGCTCGCTCGTGTGCTGCCTGACGTGGTTGCCCGCCTCCACTGTGGGCACACGCACACATGCATGAATGTTTACACTTGCTACAGGATATGCGTGCCAAGATAGGGTGCAGTAATGTGCCCCCCCCCCCCTCCAGCGCCTCCATGCAGTTTAATATGTTCAGGTGTACAAAGCGGGTCTCCATCATGTATGCAGTGAGAGCACTCAGTGGTGTGTGTGTGTGTCTGTGTATGCAGACTTTGCATCTGAAGGTGGAGGATAAGGGGTTTTAGCGGTCCTAATCCACATGGTTCTAGCATGCTCCAGAACGATGCTATGAAACTTGGATTAGCGAGAGAGAGAGACACACACACAAGAGCTGGAGGCGGAGCCACAACCGAGGCCGGAAAGAGCTCCTGGGTGTTAGATTGAAAATTGCTGTTCATAGTTCTATCAACGCCCCACAGCTGGCGGCAGATGAAAATGAGATGAGACTGGGGGGGTTTCCACAGCAGATCATGGGACTCAGCTGGGGGAAATTGTTCCTTTTCACACGCATTCCAGTCACATCAGGCTTTTATTTTTCTCACAAACAGTCAGAGACGCTGTTCCTGTGTGACCGCACTGGCGCTGTTGTTGACCTCAGTCAGGTTGTCGGACTGAACAAACAAGCCAAGTTCTCAGCGTCTAAACAGGGAACGCAGCCGTGCAGTTTGTCCGTGCAAAAAGCTCCTCCTTACGACCGCCCCTCCCACCCCCCTGTAGTGGCCGAAGTATTGAGGATTAAGACGGGTCGGTCATTTCTCCTTAACTGAGCACCTTGTTTTTGTTTCAGTGAGTTCTGGGAATCGTTGGATGTTGAATTCAGAGCCTCAGCCTCTCTTTTTGCTGTTGGACTGAAGAGTTTTTTTTTTTTTTAGCTTTTCGTGCTCAGTTCACAATGTGAGACATGCAAGCAGCTGCATCATTAAACAAAGGGGAGAGGCAAAAGTAATCGGTGGGGGGGAACGGCAGAAAATATTCAGTTGAAAGGCGTCTCTGGTAACATAAACATTTCATCAGCATTTCTTTTCGACGACTAATGTTCACTCTAACTGGACATTACTCCGACATCAGTTGGGCAATTGCTAGTTGTCTTCCACCCGTGGTGGCGTAAACTGTTTGATTTTTGTTTTTGTAATGATAGACGGATGAAACCATTTTCCTGATATTTTATTGACTAAAATTTGCGGAGAATCAAGAATACAGGACCGATGTGTGTGTTAGCCGATAAGCACGATGAAATAGCGGTAGTGTTAAAACTGTGATCAAAACGCCTCTTTATTTAATGTATGTTTAATCGTTATCCATGTGTCCATGGTAACAGCCATGAATGCCCAGTATCATTCAGGCTTTGTGCAAAACCCACAAATTTGTATGAAAATGACTTTATTCTCTTTGTTACAGCTGAGATGATTCATTGTGCTCCTTAACTCTCCACATTTCTTGTCTCCTCCTCCTCCTCCTCCTCCCCATCAGATGATGAAACATGCGTGGGGCAGCTACAGGCGCTACGCCTGGGGTTCCAATGAGCTGCGGCCCGTCTCCAAGCAAGGCCACTCCAGCAATCTATTTGGTGAGTGAGAGACCCCTACACACACTCACCCCCTCCCCCTTCCCCCCACAGAAGGAAACAAACACCATTGATCTGTCGTCCATGCCACCGGCTGCCTTGGCCTTTAGATTAGCGGCCAAATTGGCCTTCAGTTTTGAGTCATCCATCAATGGAATCCTCTAAATGTCAACTTTATCATATATTTAAATTCTGTTTGTGCCGCTTGCCAGTTGTTGGTGTTGTTGCTGTTAACGAGCGCTGTGACGGAGGGGCAGCTCCCCTGCTGCCTTTCTCCTGCACACAACACTGGCTTGAAAACGTTGCTCCGCCGTGACAGAAGCCAAATTAAACTAAGGTACTAACTGCATGATTTTTTTATTCTTTTCTCATCACCCCAAGGCGCGCAAACACACAAACAAATACAAACACACACTACGCGTTGCTCCTCGTGCAGTCTCATTTTGTCGGCTAAGAGCCGGACTTTGAGAATTGCCGCCAAAGTAAACATGAAGCCAAAAGCAGAGGATGCCACGGGTGTGTTGCGACGACACGTGTGCCAAAAACAGAGGATTATTGCGGCTCATTAAAAGCACATTTCATCTGCGATATATTTGATTTTTCCTGTTATTTTTGTGAATGGACGAAGGGACCACAGGCTTCAAAGCATCGAGATAAAGCGGCCTAATATTTGAAAAAAGCATTGTTGACATTGTTGTTGATCATCCCGCGAATAATGATAATGTAAAAAACAAATGGTTGAGTGTGCAAGAGCAGTGTATGTTCTGCTTTTCCAGGTGTGTACACACAATCAACACTAATTCATTCTGACTGATGGATTAATAAGACCGCTTTGTCTGTCTCTTGATCTAATTAAATTCTCAGGGAAATATTTGTTTGGATACCTTTAGCTCCAGATGATGGCCGTGTGTGTGTGTGTGTCAGTGGGGGTTGTACGTGACAATTTGGAGCAGTGTCACTGAGATCCTGACTAGATAAGATGGCATTCATGTGGAAAAGAGGAACACCAGTTTCTTGACACCCAAATGCACTCACATGCTTGATATGGTTTGATGTTTTCCTCTCCTGCTTTTTTCTCTCCTTCTAATCTCGCCATTTAATATTCAAGTGCAGTATATTTTTCTTCCTTTCCTCTGTAACAACAGCCTGTGTCCTTCTAGAGCTTTCAAAGTACGCTGCCTGTAATTAGTGGAAGGAAGTAGGATTTATAAGAGGCACACGTTGTTTTCTTTGGCGATCAACACGTCACTGAAGCCTTAAGGCCGGCGCATGCTTCTGCGTTTGCGTCTGCGTCGTTGCGTCGACACACTCGTTTCAATTCATGGTTCTGCGTGTGTTGCAGAGCAGTTCACCGTCAGAACAACAGGCGGAGTAACGTGTTTTTGTTGAAGACGACCTAGAGAGTCACGTCTATTTATTTATTTGTTTATTTATTTATCATAGACTTTATTGCCCCCGTGCATCGCCAGTGCTGCTTTTCATCACGGACACATTTGTCCCGTATTTCCCCGACAACTTTGTGCACCTCTCGATCGGCAAACCGGCGTTGGCGGTGTCAGGCTATGAAAGCGGAAATGTGAGACTCCGTAAAGGATGTAGTTAGCGGACCAATCACAGCCTGGTGCGCTGCGGGAGGCTTGCATTGCTTGCGCCGCTTTCGACGTAAGCCTAGAAAAATGGCTCGACACACGCAAGGACGCAAGGAGGCGTGAAAAGCGACGCAAGGGGGGCTTGCGTCTGCGTCGCTCTGAAAACCCAGAAGCATAAACTAGGCTTTATGCTCACATGTAAGTGAACACTTGTTCATTAACACATCCAGCAGACGTGTGTTTCTGGCTACTGGGCGGCTGCATTTTGACGTATTTTTGAGGGCCAACCAGGGAGTTGGCGTCGCATTGGTACCCCCTGTGGTTATTACTTTTTCATTGGATTTTAGATGGTTGCAGAAAATAAGCTCTGTGGCAAAAACACTTTTCAGCACGACGATCTTCTAAAAAGAGCCCCACATTTATTATTTCACAAAACATGTGAAACCGAACCCGATGAATAGAATAGAACAAATGGATGATGTTAACGGCAGTCATGTGGTTTTATTCAGAGGATAGTCAATATGTTTCCTTTCTACTTCTGGCAGCCATTACATGAATCCTTAATGCAGTTTTACCTGCACTGCATAAAAAGTTATTTCTGAACATCTCCAAAGTGTTTCTGTGTCTTACATCATCGGTTCCACAAAGCTTGCGTTATTTGTGTCATGGTATCACAGCTGAGCGCTTTATTTTCAGGGTGCGTCTAACACCATCAACAGGATGTCAGCGCTTTTATATATATATATATATATATATATATATATATACATATACATACTTGCAGGAGACGGTGAAGCCACAGATTGTGCAGTAAGATGACTCTTTTGACATTTAGCCTCATTCTTGTGAGTCAGCAGCCGGCTCTTTTATGTTCAGGTTTTACCACTGTAATCTGGAGACACAGAAGACAGTATTTTCACATTTATTGGGGTAAATTCCTGTTATGAGACAAGATGATTTTGGTTTGCATCGGAGTCGAGATTCCATCTTGTGTCTTGTATCTTTACAATAGAAGGTAGCTGCATATAAAATTACCATTCGATTGAAATGGAATTTCCGTCTTCACCGCTGGGGAAAACGCCACCCAAAAAAAGCATTTACTACATTGATTCCATTATACAGCGCGGGGCATTTACAGGCTCATTTTTAATGATTTCCTTCTTCTTAATGCGGGAATTCAATCAGTGTTGTGTAAATTCCAGACACTGTTTCATTACTGGAATTTATCAAAATGTAGAAAGAGGGAGGAAAGCGGCTGTGTGAATACTGATTCAGAAGTTAGCCCATGTTGGTCTTTGCCTCGCGTCGCATCCCTCCAGCCTCGGCTACAGAACAGTAAATAGCTTTCGGATGGCTGCTTCAGCAGACCCACTTCCATCAGTAAATAAGACAGCGTGGCCCCGGGGCCTTGTCACAGCCGCTTTCCAACCCCTATAGAACATGATGTATGACGATAATATTAGCCCGGCCTCGAGTATTATGCAATGAAGCCGCTTTCCGAACCGGAGGCTATATCCCCGATACGCAATAACCAGGTTCCAGTCAGACTGGAGACTTTTCAGAGGTAAAGCTCTCTCAGAAGCTTTAGGAGGCCCACTTCAAATTGAACGTGATTCTTTTGACTTATTCCATCAGGCATTTTAAGCTTTTTTTTCACCTAATAAAAGAGCCAAGTTGCAAGTTGATTTTGGGGCATTGCGAGGACCTGGACTTCAAAGCTTCAAAGTTATTTTACTGTAAGATAGACAACCGGGATTGGAATGACAAATGAAACGCCGCTCTTTGTATTTTATATTTATGTTCCCCTGCATACGCCTGGAAAAGTTAATTTTTCAACCTTGGTGTGTTGCAAAGTCCTCTCAGTTTATTACAAATCAATGTTTGTATTTCAATAAATCAGAAATCCATCTCAGTTTGTAAATCACCTGTTATGTCTGACCAACCGTTCAAACTTCTATTAACACAAAGTACAAGGACAGCGGCACGTTTTTTAAAATGAAAATGCCACTTTAACTGCAATTCATCACTTTGTCACTTGTCACTTTGTCTCTTGTCTGTTACTTGTTCGTTAGTGCACTTTATGCTTAATATTTTTCTTTTTAACTTTTTAATATTTAAATTTTTTTAACTTTATTCCCTTGTTTTATACTAACCCATAGCCTTAGCCTTATTCTACTAACCCATTGCATTAGCATTTCATTCCACTTTATTTTATTACTTGTGCACTGTTGTCTTGTCTGTCTACTGTCGCGCACTAACCGCCAAGACAAATTCCTTGTATGTTTGACATATTTTGGCTAATAAATGTTTCCTGATTCCTGATGAGATGGAAAAAAGGAACGTTGGACTGACTAATCAACAAATCATTTCAGCTGAAGTGAAACTACATTCAGTACTCTCAATTTATTTTTATAATATAATTTAGTTGCTTCCAGGACAACATCCATGCTGTTACAATCTTGATACGTCTGCTATCTTCAGCCTAAGACTGCAGAATTTGCTTTTTTTTCAAGCATGCTTTTATGAAACCTAGACATCCAATGTATATTTAGGAAAAGACTGCAGATATAGTGCATCCTTCTTTTGGGTGGGTGATTAACCTCAACTCCAACTTTACACCCCCGAAATGTTGGCAGGCAACTGTGTTTATCTTCTCAACCAAATACTTTGGCAGACATCCAAGCACGATATGGGTATGCTTCATCACACACCATCACAGTATATATGTATATACTTCAAAAGGTAGAGAGCAACAGACGCAGTCTGCTTGTACAGTCGTGTTGGCACTTAAATAAAGCGCTTTATTGAATAAAATAAGTAAGTAGTTAGAGATCCTTAACTATTTGACGGTGGAGATGCTTACCGAGTGACTTTCTGATGTGTAACTTATTTGTAATGGCACACGAGTGCGAACAGACCCATTAAATCGGCTCAACTAACACCCACAATGTCCCGGTGAAGAGGTTCTGTCAAATTGAGTTTAACATGTGTATGTAGGAGTTTTCTTTCCCGTTTAGTTTGTTAATCGGTCACATTATAAAGAAACAGGTAAAATTTAAAACAGTCTTAAAAACTAGTGTGACGTCTGACCGACAAAGGGGCATTACGATACCATCAGCCTCTGTTCAGTGAAAATAATCACCAACAATGTTTTATGTGTTTACATGCAATCTCTTTAAATGGAATATTGTTGAGAAACTTGAATAAAAAATGTTTGTTTGAAGGATATTTTTTTACAGTAACATACATCAATATTAGAAATGCGTTATGAATTATGAGCTGTTCAAGCAGCTTATAATACATCATTAAAACTAAACTCATTAAAGTTACTAATGACAAAATTTATTTTGTTTAACTTTTTCATGAACAACAACCCACTACAGACAATTGTCAAATGTCAGGTTCAGTACACGA